GTGCCAGGATAATTCTCTCAAAGAGCTTACCCAGGATTGAGGTAAGGTTAGTTGGCCTATAGTTTCCTGGGTCCTCCTTCCTCCCTTTTTTGAAAATGGGAACCACATTGGCCCTTTTCCAGTCCTCTGGCACTATGCCAGAGCACCATGAGTGTTCATAAAGCTGTGCCCGGGGTCCTGCAATGACCTCTGCTAATTCCCTCAGCACTCTGGGGTGGAGATCAACCTGCTGATTTAAATACGTCCATTCCCTCCAGAAGTTCCCTGACTAGGCCTTCAGTGACTGTAGGCCTGGGTGAGCCTCCCCTTGGTTCTATGGGGGTCCCAGTGGGGGGGGAGAACAGATGTTTAGTAGGCAGCTGTAATAACCAGACCCTGCTAATTACCCTAAATCTTGAACTCAACTGTGGGAAGTTGTTGAAATTTAATAAAATGTGATGACAATGACTACAATGAGGACTTGATGGTGGGGTTGGAAAAGGAGATGAGCTCAAGCAAGAAAGTCTGTTGATACCACAGACAATACTGCATTAGATTCATAACTGCTAAGCAGTGAGAGGATAGAAATGTAAATCAGTGGATCAAAGTTAGCATATCAGAGCTTAGGGAATGTTCTGCTCCCATCAGTACTACTACCACTTTTTTTGGAGCTTTAAAAAGAGCAAGGTTCAGATTTAAAATGATAGCTCTGAACCGGGGGATTTTCAGACGAAAAACTGACAGGCTCTTCTTCACTCAAGAGATTCAGCCCTTCATGAAGAAGCCACTGAAACAACAAAGACCTTAAGGTGACACAGGTGATATCTGGTTGCATCTCTCCCTTGTATAAGGGAGATAATTTGAACCACCTATAGCCCTTAGATTTTTCCCAGAATCACTGCAGTGATAACCGCAAGAATTAGGTTTAGGTAATTCAGATGTACACATACTCAGGCAGCATTCTCCAGGAAAAAAAATTGTACAGGGAAACTCAGGCTATCACCACAGCTATAAAAACAAAACAAAAATCTCTGTAGCAAGTCACCTTGAGTCCCTAAGTCACTTGGTGAGTACAAATGTATGCTTCCACAGGATTAGTATTCCTGTTGAACAGAACACTAGTGCAGATGACATCAGTAATTCATAAGATGCCTTAAAAGCATAAATCCTCAACTTGCTACTTCTACTGTTTCATACTGTTTCATGTTTAGCAGTGGACCAGATGACTCCACATGAGAGCTAAAAAGATTGCTATTTAGGATATCATTAATGTACCACACCATTAATTTGGTTCCAGGTAACTTGTCTCTCTGGGGTAGAATGGTATGAAGTGAAATGAGAAAGCTGATGACTTGGTTAGTTTTAAGATAATGATAACGATAATGTTCATCCATAACACATCCATCAAGTGTGGACTCGGGAAAAGGTTCATGATGGCTAGAGATGCCCATGTCAAGGGGCAGTCCCAATACAAAGCAAAAGATGTCTCCCAAGAGGAAGAGATCAAGAATTCCAGGCATGCATGTGCAATCCCAGACAGTGCCAGAAGTCAGACAGATGAATAGACAGGGAGGGGCAGCGAAGACTTCAAACTAAATCGTCCAATAACGAAATACAGTTGTTTCAGGAGATGTGGTCTCCAAATATGTTTCCTTTGAAGGTATAAAGTATTTCCTCTGTATGTGCTCATTCTATTTTTTATTACAATATACTCCATTCAAGAGTATAGCTTCTGGATTGAATAAAAGGCAGTATACTTCCCTTGGAGTATATGCCTACCTGAGTACAGTGTGAACAATCAATGCTCATTAAGTCTACAGGCTGTCAGTGCTTTGATATTAGCAGTCCTGAAATTGATTAACTTCCCTCTTTTTCAAGCCTTCTGACAGCAGCCAGGACAGTGACTAGTAGAAGCCTTGAAAACATAGGGAACAAATCAATTTCATGGCTTCTGATATCACAACACGGTCAGTTCTCTGGTATTAGTTTGCCCCCAAATGACTAGCTTGCCTCATTTTAAGGGTTGCTAATAGTTATTGTTGGGACTGGTTTTAGAAGCCTTGAAAAATGAGGGGAAATGACAGCCATGAAACTGATTAATTCTCCATTTTCAGGGCCTCTCTAAACCAGTGGTTTTCACCCTGTGGTCTGCACCCCCCCCCAGGGTCCACAAATTGTCTAAGGGGTCCACAAAGATAACTATGATGAATCAAAAGTATATGAATATTCACACTTACAATTCAGAGGGGTCTGCACCTCCATTCAGATTTTCCAAGGGGATCCACACCTCCATTCAACATTTTTTAAGGGTCTGCCAATGAAAAAAGGTTGAAAACCACTGCTCGAAAAGTAGCCCTTTGACAGCTAGTTCCCCTTCATTGTTTTTGATCCACATAAGCCCAGAGCAAAATTAAGTTACAAAACAGACAGTGGGACTGAAAAAAGCTATGCATTTAAGCAAGTTATGTACTGAACTGATGAGCAGATACAGTGTAAACAATGAGAAACAAATTGGGACTGGCATTGTTTTGCACCTAAGTGAAGTGTGTATTTATCTGTTATGTACCATACACTGTATTTTCCTTTATATTCTGTTTTATTCTGTGTGTTACTTGGTTGGGTTTGGCTTTGTCCTTGCAAAATAAACTGCCGCTTCCAGTCTTAGATTGTGGACAGAACTGAGATCGTTACAATTTATTTCAAATCCAAGTAAAAATTGAGATACATAAATATAGAGAATTGAATAATCGCCATCTGTTTTGAAACTTAGACTTGATAATAGGTAACAATGTATTATATGCAAGTGCCACCAGCTGGTGGGTGTTTGATGTAGCTTGTATTTTGTGCCTAGAATATTTCAGGCAAGCAAAAAATTAATATAGTCTTTTACCCATTTCTACATCAAATCTTATACTTGTCATGGATTCTTCCAAGGAAGCACTTGTTGGGCCCTCTAGCGTTGTTTGGTCTCTGTGGATACTGCCTGAAAGCAGCCCAGGCAAGGCTTCTTGGGTAGGAGACTCAGCAGGGAGCCCTGATTACTTCCAGCTCTACAACACAAGCCTTTTTGTCCCTTACCCTATCCAAAGCCCTTCCTCAGAGAGCTACCTTCCAGTTTGGCTCCTGAGAGGGGCTTTACGTCTGCAAAGGGGAAAGGAGTACAGTCCAAGCTCCAAGGAGCAAAACAGATATTTCCGCTTCACTAAGAGTCACCCAGGAAGGAGACTCTGCTCCCTCCAAAGGATTAAGCAGTCCCTCTGTTCCCAGTGCAGCCCACCTCACACAGCCCCCAAGTAACTCAGGTATTCTCTCTCCAATCCAAACAGCCTGAATACATGTAAGTAGCCTGACTTCTTTGCTTTGGGGTGTGCAGCTCTGAGGCCTTCATCCTGCTTTTCAGGCTTCTTCATTGAGAAGCTTTCCAGAGTGTTTCCTCCAAAGGAAGAGAACCAAGGTCACCTGAGTCATCAGGTCTTTTCAATTCCTTTGTTGCTGGATGTCCATCTCATCTCTCCAGCTCAGATCTAGCAGGAAATATAGTCACTCTTCTTTCCCTGTGTAGAAGCTAGTCAGGTTAATGGAGACACAAAACACCATTACAAGATGAACCTTTTTAAAACAAATGTTAGAATAAAACCCATAGCCTGTTGTAGTACTTTGTTGCATATGTGGTCTTATGGCTAAGAGTTTATTAAAATCTTCTTGTGCTTGTCATTTATTATGTGTTTGACAGTACTTAGGTGTAATGTTGGGACTGGCTGCTGACAAGTCATTCAGCACAGATATAGAATGAGGAAGAAATGGGAAGCGGTACTAACTCTGGTAGTTGTTTTCTTGTTGTTGTTGTCATAATGAGCTATACCCTTTTTTAATTACTAGCTCAGTAGGTGCAGTTAGATTATCGAAACTACATGAATAGTTTTTGCAGCAATCTGAAGAATATAGCCTGTTTAATTTTTAATATAATGAATAATATACACATTCAAGCATGACATCTAAAAATCTGTTATTTGCCCTCTAAAGATACAGAAATAATAGTCCTACAAATTTATTATTGCTTTTAATGTAAAGACCAGGAATGTCAAGTATAGCCCTTTATAGCTTTTGGAAAAATACATATAGCAAGTTAAAACTAAAGCCCTTGAAAACTAAGGGCTTTTAGTCCCTGTGATCATCATGAAATCTGGAGTAGCCAAAAGTTTTGTAAAGTAAGGATGTCAAACACAAGGCCCATAGCCTGGATTTGGCTCATGGCAGTGGGTCATCTGGCCCACAGAGCTTCTCACAGACTGGGTCACCCATCTTTAAAGGCCAGATTTGGCCTTTGGGGCTTGTCATTGCAGCTGCTGAAGCCCCTGCGGCAGTGGTGTTCATCCCCACTTTTTCAGCAAAGCTCTAGGACCCAGGGAGTTAATGTTGCTTGCCTTCTCCCTGTACCCCACTTTACCTATAACCAAAATGGGGAGGGGAGGTGGGTTAGTTGCCCCGGAGAATAAGACTGATGGCAGGGGAACAGAGCAGGCAAGTAGCAGCATTATTTATTCTTTGGGTTCTTGAGCTGCACCAAAACAGCTCTGATCAATACCACTGCCACAGCGACTCTGAAATTGGCTCATGGGTTACATGTTTGACAATTTGACAGTGGCTGTGACAGAGATAAACCTTTGGCTTTGGAGCTGAAAGAAGAGAGTGAATGATGTTGAGGAGTGAACAATGCCCATTCTGGTACCATTCAGGCGTTGTGAGCCCATGTTATGACAGGGAAAACTGGGAAAAATTAAAAATCTTTTTCCCCCGCTTCATTCTGCCTCGTCAGAACAGGTTGGGTCTTATTTGGAAATGTGTGGTATGTGAGAAAATAGAGCATGATCTGAATGGTTGACAGAAATTATGGGGGTTATTATTACTTTCAATCCTTTGACTTAACTAGCAAACCAGAGTACATAGGTGGTAGATAATTCCAAAGGAAACTGAAATTGCCCACAAAGATATCAACAGAATTTGAAGATGTTGTTATATACTGTTGTCTGATATTAACATTTGAAAATATGTTTCAAACATAAATTTTAAGTTCTATGATCTAGAATATCAGTGTTGTTGTTTAGAGTACACTAAAAGCATGGGATCAGTTGCTTAAATATGACATATCTTCTAAAGATATACATTTGTATAATCTAAGTTCAAGAACAAACAATGTTTAAGTTCTTTTGATTTTATTCCCAGGTTCCAAAGTTATGCTCCTTCTCATTCTCTGTGTTGTACCATTCCTTGTTTTGTCAGAAAAGGGTAGACATTTTCTGTCTTGTGCATATCTGGAAAACATCAACTTTTGTCAGTGAATCTGTCACCAAGCACAATAAATCTATGTTTATGTATGCATTTCTAAGATGTTTTCTCAGTTATGTAGTGATTGTTTCTATCATGTCTTTAATGACATTACTGTTAATATAATTTGATTCAAAGTTAAAGGCATTTTTCATTTTCAAGTTACAGGGTTTTTCAAAATGTCTCAAACTATATGTAACAGTGCGTAATCACTGTTAAATGAGGTAGCATATTTCAAATCTTATATTGCATCTTATAGAACAGTGTAGTATCAAGAGCTTTCATGGATGAAGTAATTCTGTTTAATGCGTGCCTGAATTTTGAATGAGTAAAAGAATTCTCATATATAAAGGAAATAATTACTCAAGATCTTTTGGAAAGCATGTCATGCTTTCTTCAAGTTTCACATGACATGAAACTGATGGATATTTATTCTTTCATGAATTTTTTTAAATATATTCCTTAGCACCCTTGCTTTAAGTTTATTCATTCTACAGCCTAAGGTAGCTTTTACTGAATTAGTTTGATGAGTTGTAGCTTCTTGTTGTGTGGGTTTTTTACCTCCAAATCTAAAAGGGTGTTTTAACATATTCCAGGCATCTTTAAAATAGTTCTTGCATTTAATTTTAATTTTTTATTTAAATATACTTACAGGGCTTAGGACTAAACCCTTTGCCACCTGCTGGGCCTCTTAGTAGCAGTTAAGTGACCTTTGTCATGTACAGATATTTGCTGTCCTAGGAGAAATTATCATAGGAGTGATTTAACCTTGCTTGTTTCCCTGGGTTTTTTCCCCTGGAGTGGCCATATTTACTCTGCGAGAAAAGGCCTGAATCTCTGTACACATTTGGTTTCTCCTAGAAGAAACTGAGTATCAGGGTCTAAGTATGATTCTAGTCTATCCTGCTTGAGTCTTTGAAAAACCTGCAGTGTATCCATGGATGAGTCCAGGATTTACTAAAGGGTGGGTTTGGCACACAACCCCTCAAACCATGGGTAAAGCTGGAAGTCTACTATAGACTTCCAAGGTCAGACAATATGTTAATACAGATCTCTCTAATTTAATAAGAGAGAAAAATATCTACTGGAAATTATACTGTTATAGGAAGACTAAGAGTTTGAAGAATAAATGCTACTAATAATAGTGAGGCTTCCAATGTAATAAACTTCATTCATATCTTGTCTTCAGCAGATATAAACAGCCACTTGCTAGCTTGTATGGTAATTAGTTGCTAGGATATCAATTTTAATATGGTGAATCATTATTTATGATGTTGTAGTCTTACTTGGTAAATATTGTCTTTTACTAGTTGACCACTTTGGATATGTTAAAATTGATA